AACTTTTACAGATAAATAAATGACAAAGCTTATTAAAATCTGACTGAGCCTCGGGGTTCATGGACATCTGAGACTTGTCACCACACTTTTTGCAACAGCATCCAGGTAAGGGCCAGCAGAAGCAGAGGGCTTTAATATTTGTTTAAGATATTCTGAGGCCGGGTATGTGACTCATCAGGTAAAGAGCCTTGCTGCTATGCCTAACAACCTTAGGGCAATCCCCAGACACACATGGTGGAAGAAAATTCCCAAAACTCCCAAAATTGTCTTCCAATAGGCAAATGCTATGCAACCCCCACTTACACAGAAAAAAAAACCTAATATAAAATTAAAAAGATATTCTGATCACCAGCCCCACAATTATTCCTAATTTGTTTGGACTCGGTCTTGGTTTCCTGAAGTAAGAACGTCTGAGGACATATCAAAGTATTCAGAGGCAAGGAATGAAGGGAAGGAATCAAGGAGACACAGCAGGGGAATTGCTAAGAGCCACTGCCATGATTGAAGAACTTCCTGAATTATCAGAGCCAAGCACTACTGGGACATCCCCAGAGCATTCTGAGATGGCCGGTGGTCAGGACACTGTGCAGATGCTTATCTCAGAGTGTTTACCCACTTCTTTCCCAGACAATTTCTCTGTCTGTCTGTCTGTCTATCTCCCTGTTTTTCACTCATTCTTCCTCCCTCCCTCCTTTCCTCTTTCCCTCCTTCCCTCCTTCCCTCCTCCCCTCTCTCCCTCCCTCCCTCCCTCTCTCTCTCTCCCTTTCTCTCTCCCTCCCTTCTTTCTTTCTTTCTTCCTTTCTGACAAGACTCTGGGATTGCAGACTGTTTTCTAATGTATTCTCTACCCCAGGATGCCTTTGAATTACTGATTCTATTGGATCGCCTTCCCAAGCACTGGGGTTACACACATGCACTGTCACAAGTCTGAATACCACTCAACTCACACTTGTTCCAGGAAGCTGGTCCTTGGGTCCTCCAGACTCACGACCTGAGGGAAGGAGGAGCCCTGGGTGAGAGGTTTTGCTTTCCTCACTTTGTCTGTGGCTCAGTGATCACTGTGTTCTGTCTGCCCTCAGTGACAAGGGCTGCAAGAAAAGCCTCCTGACTGCTTTCCCCAGCATTCCAATGTCCAAACTGACCAAGTTTGCAGAGCCTGTCGCAGGATGCTGTCTGAAGTGACTGGAAGAAAAGTTGTCCTGTCCTCTCTATGTGGTTAGGGCACAGAACACTGACAGTTAAACTGTGAGAGGCCCCACATGAAGCACCTGACTCTGCCTTTGTTCCAGTGGCAGGAACAACAAAGCTGTGATGGTTCTAATGTCTGGGAGAAAAGGTTGGATGCCTACAACTCAGAGTTCTTTCCTTTAAGGATTGAAGCTAGGTGTGGTGGCTTTTGCCTGTAGTTCCAGAATATGAGAGACTGAGGCAGGAGACGCCCAGATATTTAAGGCAATCCTGGGTTACAGGTAATGAGTTCCAGGCTAGTCTGGGAAACAAAAGCTAATAAAAACACAAGAAATCCTGAAGGCTCAGGGATTCTCAGAGAAGAGGAGGCAGAAAGACTGTAAGAGCCAGAGGGGATGGGTACCTCCAGGAAAACCCATCTTCCAGACACAACAGGACTGATGCACCCAAGAACTCTCAGAGTCCATGCAGCACACACAGGGCCTGCACAGGGTTAAGCCAGAGTCTCAACACTGAGGGGGAAAGTAAGCATGGGCTCTGACCCCTAACAAGGGAACTCTGTTATTGATTTGCACTGGCAATAGAAAAATCACTTTTCTCCAATGCTGTCTCACTGGCTCCATGCCCAGGAGTAGCTGGCCGACACAAAATGATCTTAATTGTATTCTGGTGACATTTTCATTTTATTTTGCATTGTTTGGAATATTTTTCCTTATTGGTCTTTTGCTTTTGCACATCTGTATGCACACCACTCCCACACATACATGGAAAAATGCACACTACACACATATGAACAATGAGAAAAGAGAAGGGATTGAGCAGAACTCGGTATATGTTGTAGTCACAGGCCGTCTACGACTCCATGGGGTTAAAGAGAGTTTAGCATTGACGGGGAGGAAAGGCAGCTATCCCGGCTCACTGATTGCAGTAGAGACATACTTCATATTCAGTAGATTGAGGTCTAACATTTAAAATGTAAGATTTATCCAGCTGTGGTGGCACACACATTTAATCTGAGCTCCCAGGAGACACAGGCAGCAGATCTGAGTTTGAGGCCAGCTTGGTCTACAGACAAACACAAAGGACAGCCAAGGCCACACAGAGAAATCTTGTCTAAAAAAGACTAAAACCCAAACCAAACAAAAACAAAACAAACAACAACAACCAACCAAAAGCCTGCATAAGGACATGATTGAAGTGTGGAAATCAATGGTCAGTGTGGAGCGGGGCGGCTCCCTCACAGAACAGATCTAGAAGAGGAGGGGTGTGAAGTGAGGATCCATCAGGAAGGGGGAAGGAAAAGGAGGGATTTCTCAACACATGGCTACTGTCACCTTAAACGCAGGAGGGAAGAATTCTTGAAAAGAAACACAGATGCATCTTTGGGTGAGGAGGATGAAGCCATGCACACACAGAGCAGGAGACAAAGGCAGAAAGGGCTGAGAGCTGAGACTGGGGATGGGGCCTGCAGAACCCCAGAAGGAATTCAAGTTATTGTAGCTAAGGAAACACTTATGGTGGACATTAACCTCTCTAGTTATGTACCCGGCTACCCCAATTTCAATACATCAGCTTTAGAGAAAAGGGGGCATAATTATCTAAGTTTTTTCCATCAGGGATAAGGGATAACACTAAGGAAAGACCTGTGAACACAGGAAAGATGAAACAGACCAACCAAAATCACACTGTGGAGAGAAAGGAGGATGGGAATACCCTGGCATGACAGGAAGCTTAGCGTGTTCATAAATGATTCAAAAGCCAGTGAAACAGAACAAAACAGAACAGATAGCTTTGCAGAAGCAGTCCCCTGAGTCTGGCCGGGGACTCCTTGCCTACAGTCTCTACCTTAGTAATCTCTTCATGGGATGTCTTAAAATAGATGGAGTCTTTATTTTATTTTATTTTATTTTATTTTATTTTATTTTATTTTATTTTATTTTATTTTTACATCTCCAACAGATTTATTTTTAAAGGAATGACCTAAAGGAAAAAAAAATGGGGTACACAAATATGGACTAGAAAATGTAAGCTGTTTTACTAATTTTATAACCACAAACTTGTACAGAGAATGATGCCCTGTACAAAACACAACAGATTCAAATGAGGTGTTCCCTTAGCAAGGCTGAAGATTCAGTCTCTGGTATTTGGAATTTAGGATGCAGTCCTTGTTTTTGGATGGATCACTGGGTGTTTGGCACAGTCCATGCTTTTAACCAGATTTGAACAGAAGAGTGGCCACCTGACCCAGGTAGAAGTAGATGAAGTGTTTGGTTTCATGTGTCACATAACTACCGAAGTTCCGGCCCACAATGCAGTGCCAGGTGGGGTTGTACTTGTCAAACTCCTTCTTGATATGGGCCGCAATATCCTTCTCTATGTTGTACTTCTCCAACCCCTGAGTAGCGCACTCCACCGAGTCCTGTTGCATCTCTTCCGACATGTCTGCATTTTTCATCTCCGCCTTCCGGTCGCACATGGTTACCGTGGAGCAGGGGCCAGCCGGCTGCTGCGAGCTCCTAGGGAAGGTGCTGGTGCCGCTCAAGCAGCAGAGGACAGCCGGTCGCTACCGAAGCCGTGGCACATCTTGAGTCTTTTAATTTTTAAAAGTACAATACAAAATATATGAAGTAATAGCCCCCCCCCCAGAAAAAAAAGGATAAAAAAAAGGAAGCTTTAAACAGAAACATCTCAAGGTCATGAGCATCTTATTTCTCCCACAAGTGTTTGTACTAGAACATTTCCCTTTCAAGGCCACCTCCTGTCATTACAGCTTTAGTGTCTCCATTTTTATTCTGACTTCCTTCATAGTTGAGATGCTGTCCAGTTCAGCTATGCTCTGTTGCTGTTGGGGGGGGGTTGTTCTATCAGTTTTTGAGACTGAAAATATTGGAATGTGACGGTGGATTCTGCTGTCATCTCCTATTGCTCTAGCAGGACTTCCCCGTCATCGTGTTTAAAGGTGCTATTAGAGTACACTCTGAGTTTGTTTGTTTATTTATTTATTTAGTTGCTTGAGACATTTGGGAGTATCCTCTCAATTTTAGTTTATTTAGTCTCATCAAGACAGTCCGAATGTACTCCGAATTTATTTTTGGTTGTTTGTTTAATTATTTTGTTTTTTTCAGACGCCTGGCCTGTCACTCTAGGGCGGCGATTAAAGGCATGTGCCACCAGCAGCTGAGTGTATTTTAGTTCTTAGACTGGGTCTCAGTGTGTAGTCCTCGGTGGCCTCTTCTCACAGATGTGCAGATGGCTGTGCCTCCCTACTGCTGGGATAAAAGGCGTGTGCTACCACGCCCAGCCATGTTTATTGTCACTCGATGACTTGCCCTCTGTAGTATCACTGGCAAAGGTCTTTGGCCCAAAATCTGCCTCCATTTTATAATCCACTTGAGTTTCGTTTGATTATGCGAAGATGATCACTTTGACTCTCCTAGAGCATTTACCTTTAACATATTCTCTGTAGTTCTCACATGGCTGGTTCTGACTTCCTTTCAAATCTAATGTGGCAAACCTGTACTTTAGCGTTTAGACAATTTACAGAACTTTAAATGCGATTAGTTGTATTAGTTTTGCTGTCTAGCCTGTCTAACGGACACCGTTCTGTAGATACATAGCAGTGTGGTCCTCAGTCACATTTTCTATCTAGAGCAGGGAGTTTAGACTCCTCTGTCCTCTCTACGGGAGCGAAAAATCAGTTACGCCGAGAACCGGAAGTACCTTTAATCAAAGTAGGGAGCGGCCCCTTTAAGCGCGCACCCCACCGTGGGAACTCCCAGAAGCCACTGGGCGCAGCTCTCAGATGGGCTGGGCCGAGTTGCATGCCGGGAGCTGGGGGCGGGGCGGGGCTGCTCCAGAGCTTTGCTTGTGACAACTGTGTTTTCCAGGACCGCCGCTCCAGAGGTAGCGCACAGGCTTTTGGTTTAGATCTCCACAGAGTAAGGCCGGAGCCAGCGGGCTGGGAGTGGGTGTGTCCGGACGGTAGTGTGTGTGTGTGTGTGTGTGTGTGTGTGTGTGTGTGTGTGTTTGTGTGAGAGAGACAGACAGACAGACAGAGAGAGACAGAGACCCCGCATGTGTCTCTGTCTCCACACCTCGAGCTCTCTGCATGATCTGTCTCTGCGTGTCGCTTTCTGCTCCTGCTTTCTCTCGGGGACACAGGGACTGGAGCAGAGGACCAAGCTTCAGTAAGGAGAGGTCATGTGTGCAGTCTGAAGGGAAGCTTTCCCTGAGGTTCAGACTTGAGCTTGGGAGGAGCATCTGAGGCCGGGGTGTCGCCTAGGAGGGAGGGTACTTGTTGAGTTCCACGACTTTGTCAGAGCCCCAGTCATGTAAGTGTGGAGGGAAGTGAAGGCAGGTGCTCCCTGAGGATGCTCTCGGATGTAGTCTGGGATCTCACGCTTCCTCAGGCTCCCCTAGCCGGCCATTCAAAAGGAGGACTGGAGAAGGATGTGGATTCAAGAATGAGTTTGCTCTTTCTGTTCGAGAAATGAGGGTTTGGTTTTAGAATATAGAATTGTAATTGAAGGAGGTACGTGTAAATTGATACCACCACATTGTGTCCCTTACATTGTCCCTGCCCTTTTCTACTTAGTACTCACGGTATCCTCTCTGTGTGTGTATGAAATGGGTAACATTGGCCACATGCAGGTGAGCAATGCTGTGGTTGAACGTGAGGATCTGTGGTAACCGGTTGGAGTCTTGGTTCTGTCCCCTTCTTGCTCTCTGTCCTGTCCTGAACATTAGGATGCCTGTGGTGAAGCCCGTTAGTGCAGTGCCGCCAGATACTAAGGGTCCATTGAGCTTTAGGTGAGCTCGGTGAGGCCATTTTGGGTTCATTACAGATTTTTTGCCTCTGGGACAGGGCCAGCGTGGATGGCAGCTGTGGGTCTAAGGCTTGTTTCTATAATCATGTACATATTTTGCATTCCTCTTTTAAGGAATGCCCTCCCTCTTGACATTAATGACTCCATGATAATCAAAGACAGCATGAGAACGGGAGACTGAGGAATAGCTAATGTCTCAGCAAAATGGTAAACGCTGGGACCTTCAGGACAGCCCTTATGGCTGTGAAAAAGAACTCTAAAAACGTGGGTTCAAAAACAAATAATTTCTCAAAATATAAGGATGCAGTATGAATTATATGAATTAAAAAGAACCAAGGCAGTTACACCTGGAGCCAACTCGTTGGGAAGACCCTAAGGAAGGAAATAAAGAGATTTTGGGAGTGGTGATTGTAGGAGATTCCACCCAACTAAGTTTTTTATTTGTGCTTAGAAAGACAGACAGATTCCTGAGTTCAAGGTAAGCCTGGGACTGAGCTAATTTAGGCTCAGGAACAGTAGAAATGGTAATTTGAGGATGGGGTCCCACCCTGGTAGTTCATCTTCTGTGCTTAAGGGAGGCACCAGATGTCTGAATTCTTTTGCAGTGTTAAAAGGAAGTTGTGTCCAAAGAATTAAGGGGCTGGAGTCCTGGGATTCTTAGGATAAGCAAAAGGGAGCCTGGAGTAAGTGACTGCATTGATTTCTAAAGTAAAAGACTGGGCTCCTGATCTGCAAGAGATGAGCTGTCCAGAGACATTTTCTAGAGTAGCAAGAGAGAAGTTCTTGGAGAGCTGTCTCAAGCAGAATATATGAATATAGGGAGAGAGCTCCAGTGCTGTGTGGAGATCACCAGAGAGGAAGCAGGCAGAACAGAGAGTGGGCTGGAGAGCTGTCTTGGGCAGCGCTTAGGCTGACAGCTTTGACCAGATCCACTAATTGACTTGGAGTCCTTTGTTTTTGCTGCTCCCAGACACTTCTTCCTCAGAACCCCTCTCCAACCCGAGGCTGGACCTTGGCAGTACCAAGTTTCATGATGTATCTCTTGAACTTCTGTTGCGTGGCTGAAAATCTGTAGTCTTTGATCAAGTGTCTCCCCAGCTCTCTCCCTTGTGGGTCCACGTCTCCCATTCTCCTCCCTGATGCTGTACAGCCAGCCTCTGCTACTCACACCCCAGGAACCAGCATTTCACCATTCCTAGGAGAAAACAGCTTCAGAGTCTACATGACTGAAAAAATGGGCATTTGTCTTTTATTTAAAGATTAATTAATTTTCTTCATAATTGTGTATGAGGAGTTAGGTGTTCATGAGCACAGGTGTTCTCAGAGGCCTGAGGTATAGGATCCTCTGGAGCTGGAGTTACAGGCACTGTGAGCTGTCTGGAGACTGAACTCTGTCCTCTGGAAAGGCCGCAGCAGCTCTCAGGCTCTGAGCCATCCCCCTGCCTCAGTGTTTGCCTTTCTGTCTTTAGCTTATTGCACTTGTTATTCTCCGTGTGCATCCATATTGTAGTACATGGTTCACTGTGTGTGAGCCTCACTCTCCATGTGCTTTGTCCATTCGTCTGTGGGCGGGGTCCATATCACAGCTATGGAAGTGAAGCTGGAATGAAAGGTGGGGGTGTGAATGTCTCTTGGAAGTGTATAAACTGTACAAATATTGTAAATATCAGAGAATGCATAAATGTGTGTGGTGGAGACAGTGCATGCCAGCATGGAACTGTGCAGTGCCAGATGCAGCAGTGCATGTCTGCAGTCCTGGCCCTGCTATGACAAGACGAGGGTGAAGACAATCCCTAGCAGGCTGACTAGCCTGGTGTATGCAGAGGCAGGCAGGCAGGAAGGATAAAGATAGAAGGAAAATTTGTTTGTTAATTTTCTGGGGATATAAAAATGTACAATTTCATAAGGTGATCAGATGGGTCTTGAGAGGGAGAAGGAGGAAGCAGCATTAGGTGTTCAAGGCCAGCCTGGAGTACAGGAGACTGTCTCAGAAACAGATGAACAGTCCCACAGTGTACTGAACCAAGGCTTAGACCTGTTGGCTAGAGCACTGGATCCCATTGATGGCTGCTCCCTGGGGCAGCGTCTGAGGGAGGTCTGGGGTTGTGTGTGCTGCTCAGAGCTTGTACAGAGCACAAGATAGTCCTCACCCAGCCCAAGACAGAACCATTGTGTCAGCCGTGCTGAGGCTGAGAAACCCAGCTCAGGATCAAAAGACCTAGGACACCCAGGACAAATCTAGTATTATTTTGTTGAAAATATCCCATAATGTGGAAAGGTGGAAACACATACTCACTTCCTGTGACAGGATGTGTTATAGCTACTTATCTTCATAAGGATCATGGCTTAATCGATACAACATAAGTGTTATCATAGCTGAGCGAAGGCTCTCAGGAAAGCGTTCCATGGTGCACAGTCCCATTTACTGAGAGTGGGGACAGAAGGCTGGACCCTGCCTGAGCATTGCAGCTGCAGCCCCTCCAGCCTTGCTGTGCTTCAGCCCTGAGTTTACAAAGGAGGTGCCATTTGGATGCTGTGAGCCCCTGTGAGCCTTGATAGGTGGGGTTCCAGTAGGAAGGTCTGCTCACAGTAGGAGGAGCAGCCCAGGTGCAGGGCTAGCTGGATGTCAGGTGGAAGCTGGGTCCCTTGTGCTGACGTCTTCTGGAGGAAGTTCAAGGCAGACATGTTTAGCTCTGTACTCCCACACTGACCCCTTTGCCATGGGTTGTCTGGGGTTAGGAGAGAATGGTCTTTGTGTAGACTCCTGTGTGCTTCTGATCTGTGTGTGGGAGGCTGTGAGCGGTGGGAGGGGAGAGAGTGAGTGTGGATGCTGGAGAAAGAAATGTAGTTGTTGAAATGACAGTGACAAAGTCATTCTGGGAACATCAAGTCACAATCAATGAAAGGCTTTCTTTTTGTCCCCAGGGGAGGAAGCCTGAAGAAGAATGGCCAGCTCCAATTCTCAACATATGGTCTGTGTAAGTTGTATGTCTCTCCTTGACCTAGGGGGACTTTCAGGTTAGGTGACTCCTTCTTGTCTTTTCCTCTTGAAGCTTTCTAGTCATTCAGAATCCCCTCATCCCGGTCTGCCCGTTCACAGTGAGGGTTGGCAGGTCTGAGCACTTCCTTTCTGAGCCTCTTCCCAGGTGGTACTGGGGTTGTCTTTGAATGCATTCCTGCACATGTGCTCTCTGCTTGGTCTGTGGTGAGGGAGGACTGTCACTGCAGCAGAGGTGTCAGTCTCACAGGGAAACAGGGGCTTTGGTGCTTCAGAGCTTTGAGGTGATGGTCTCATTGACTGCACTGGGAAACCTGATTGACATCTGTGGTGCTGTCAGGCTGGTGACCCAGGGTGTGAGAGTGAATGTCATCTGTGCATGTGTGTGACAAGGTGACCTGCTTGAGGAGGCTTTAGGAGAGAATTCAGTAATCAGAGGGAAAGGTCACCCTGACTGTGATAGGGAGGTGATTGAAGTCTCCAGAGTCAGGGAAGACCTGAGACACATTGACCATCTGGAAAGTTTTTTGATTTTTTTTTTTTTAATGGAACTAAAGATTAAACATAATATGTATGTAAAGTCATTCTCATGACAACAAATCTTTTTTATTAGATATTTTATTTATTTATGATACAGATGTCATCCCCTTTCCCCATTTCCCCTCCCTAGAACCCCCTATCCTGTACCTCTCTTCCTTTATGCTTTTGTACCATTTTAATTACATGCGTGTATTAAGGTCAGTTCTAGGTTGAGGGTCTAGCAATACAATAGATGCAAATAGTCAAGGAGTAAGCATGACAATAAACACAAATAGTCAAAGAACAAGCAAGACATGAAACCCGGTTAAGTGAACACTTCCCTGATCACTGGTTTTTGTTTTTTGTTGTTGTTGTTTTTTTTTTTTTTTGGTTTTTCAAGACAAGGTTTCTCTGTGTAGCACTGGCTGTCCTGGAACTCCCTCTGTAGACCAGGCTAGCCTCAAACTCAGAAATCCACCTGCCTCTGCCTCCCAGGTGCTGGGATTAAAGGCGTGCGCCACCACTGCCCGGCATGATCACTGTTTCTAAAGGCTTATCAGGATGACCAAAGTATCGGAGCCGACTTCCCTATCCTAGCCCAAGATTACAACAAATCTTAATGATTTCATGTGATAAACTCAAGGACTCACAGCATTCCTTGTGTATTTTACCCCGACCCCAGTGACATGTCTCCTTTGTGGGGGATAACCTGAAGGATGTGGATCGAGTGGAGAGGCACAGTTACTGGATATGTAGGTGGGCACAGCCGTCGTTTATGGGGAGTCGTGCAGTCAGGTGCCTTGAGCATTTCCTTATGGCTCCCTTCCCACGCTTGAGTCCTTTCCCTTCTGTTTTTCCATCTTGAAAGCTTCCCCAATTTCACTCTCCCTGTGTTTGCTCTTTCAGGGGTCAGTGACATTTAGGGATGTGGCTGTTGACTTCTCTCAGGAGGAGTGGGCCTTCCTGGATGCTACTCAGAAGATCTTATACAGGGACATGATGTTGGAGACCTACAGCAACCTCGTCACAGTGGGTAAGGGCTGTGTCCCATGAATGGGGGATGTGTCCTGTACATTGTGTGCTCTCCTCACTCGGAATTAAAGGACAGTACCATCTTTCCAGTGGAGCTGAAGCTGAGATGGTGACCAATTCCTGTCATTGCTTCACTGAGACTGCTAAGACAGGAAGATTGCTCTGAGTGCAGCATCACCCTCAGATACATCCTGAGTTCCAGACCAGCCTAGTCTACAGGATGAGGCCTTGTTTTAAAGAAAACAAAGCAAACACATACACAAAATAAATAAAGAGATCAATCCATAAATAGAATCTTGGGCTAGAGAGATAGCTTGGTGGTTAAGAGAGTCAGCTGTTCATGTAGAGGATTCAGGTTCGATTCCCAGCACCACAGAGGGCTCACAACCAGGTGTAAGTCCAGGAATCTGATTCCCTCTGTCAAAGAAAATAAAACAAAACAAAATTAATAAATAAATGAAATCAATAAGCAGATGGATCCACAAATAGAATCAAGTGCCAGAGAGATAGCACAGTGGGTCAGAGAACCAGCTGCTCTTGTAAGGATCCAGGTTTGATTCCCAGCACCACAAGGTGGCTTACAACCATGTGTAACTCCAGTTTGAGGGGATGTGATGCCCTCTTCTTGTTTCCATTGGTAACATGCATCTTTGTGGTGCTCAGCCATACATGCAGACAGATCCTCACATACACATAAAATGAAATTTAATCAATAGACGTTTACAAGAGGGAGTTGGTTTTCTCTTTCTTCCAAAAGGAAGAATGTAAAGTTTGTTCGACTGAAACTAGGGCTTCATGAAGCGCCTGCTTGCCCACCCCTTTTCCCCCCTCTCAGTGGGCTCTAGGTCTAGTGAGAGATCGTGTCTCAAAAACTAACGTCTAGACCAACCTACAAAGACATGTAACTGTGGTCTCTGGCCTGTAAACACACGTATGCATGCATACCTACGTCAACACATGCATACGTGTCCTCAACATGCACAGCTGCCGGAATCAGTAGAGTTAGTCACAGCAGAAGTGGACACACTCTGTTTTCTTCAGTGAACCCTCCCTTTACAAACTGCTTTGTAGTGGACTTCGTATGGTGCGAAGTTTGTCTTTTCATTGAGCAGATCTGTAAGAATGAGGTATAAATGTTAACGAAGGCAACGTGAAAAACAATAATGATAGCAATTTACATGGCTGGGATAGAACTTGTCCCCGCGATGCTCAAGGCCCTCGTTCCATCCCTAGCATCACCAAACAAATACATGGAAAGTTAAAAAAGCAATGATTTTGTATTAGTGTAAATCAGAGAATTGTCAAAGTATTTGAATATAGTATTAACAACCCTATCACATAGATAATATGAACTCAATCTAAACTTTTATCTTTTGTTATTACTAAAGCTTTTCTCTGGCGCCAGGTCTTCATAGCGAGTCCAAAGCTGCAGGCCGTCTTTGAACTTGCTGTGAAACTAAATCCAGCCTAGTACTTCTTATCTGCCTATTTTCACTCTTCAAGAGTTGTGACTCTATGTGTGTGCCTTCATTCCCAGTTATTAAATGTGAAAATTGAGTATAGAATCTTCCAGGACTTGCCAAAATAAATGGCATCATTAGTGAGCTGGAGGATGTCTATTCCCTAGACAGTGCAGCCTATGGGTTCATGTTCTCGCTACTCAGTTAATTATGGTTTTAACCGTAATTAACAAGTGACAAGTCCTTATCTGCATTTAAAGGAGATTAAAACCCTTTTCTGAAGCAGCTGGTTTCTTGCCCAGGTTGTTTCTTCCCTTCTTCTCTGAAGTCTTTCCGAAGCATTATTTTTGGCTTTTAGAATTTTTTTTTGTTTTTTTGGAGACAAGGGTCTTGCATTGCAGCCCAGAGGGCCTGGCTCATTCTCCCACATACTGGGCCCACAGTCATGATCCACTGTGCCAACCTGTATAGACCTGATAATAAATGAATCTGTATTTTTAAAATCTACACAGGCAGAAGATGGTGGCACACACCTTCAGTCCCTGCATTTGGGAGGCAGAGTAGGCAGATCAACTAAGTTCAAGGCTAGCTGGGTCTACTTACCGTGTTCTAGGACATCCTGGGATTATTAGATTGAGTCTCAATAAACAAACAAATACATAAGTGTATACACAATTAGCCACTTCTTTCTTTCTTTTAAGTGGGAAGTTGCATTTCCAAGCCAGATCTGATCACCTTACTAGAGCAGGAGAAAGAGCCCTGGATGGCTGTGAAGGAAGAAACAGACAGGCTGAGCCCAGGTGAGTAAGAGTGAGGTGAGCCTGCAGCCCTGCCAGGCATTGCATGTGGTCAGAGAGGCTCCACAGAGCTGACACTGGATGTGGCAAACTTCCTTCAAAGCCCCAGGGCCTGTGGGAAAGAAGCCTGAGCCCTGGGAAGGAAGTCAAGGTCAGAGCAGAAGCTGTCAGAGGGGCTGCTGTGTCATGAGTCACTTTAAGTTCTCATTTTCTTCCTCCCACTGGAGCAGGTGCCTCTCTGTATCCTTTACAAGTATCTCATTATTGGTTGTGTGTGTGCACACATGTGTGCAGGTATCCACAGAGGCCATAGAGAGGGTCAGCTCCCTGGGCTGGAGTCACAGGTGTCTCAGCCAATTGAGTTTGTTGAGAATTCTCCGTTGAGATCTATATCCTATTTTCTAATTGAAATTTTTTTGTAGCTATGTAGATTTTTTTAGTTCCGTATATATTTTATATATTAGGTCTATGTTGGATATGTAGTTGTTAAATTTTTTTTCCTTCTGTAGGCTGCGGCTTTGTCCAAATGACAGTGTCCTATGCTGTGCAAGAGCTCTTCAGTCTCACAGTGCTCCGGTTATTAATTCTGCCTGTGTCTGTGGTTCCTTGTTCAGAACATGTTTCCCCGTCTATGAGTTCAAGCCTAGTCCCCACTTTCTCTTCTATCAGGTTTTGTGTATCTGGTTTCACGTTTTGAGATCTTTGATCCATCTGGAGTAAAGTTTTGTACAGGGTGATAAGCATGGATCTGTTTGCATTCTTGTACATGCAGCTGTGCTTTTTGTCTGGCCCCATTTGTTGAAGATGCTGTCTTTTTTCCAGTGTGTATTCCTGGCTTCTTTATCAACTGTCAGGTGTCCATAGGTATGTGGGTTTATGGCTTCAATTCATTTCCCTTGATGAGTGTATCTGTCTCCGTGCCAGTACCATGTTGTTTTTATTCCTGTAGCTCTGTAGTACAACTCGAGTTTGGAGATGGTAATGCCCCCTGAGTTCTCTTATCATCCAGAATTATTTTCAGCTATCTTGTGATTTTTAGATTTAAGTTGGCTTTTTATTGCATGTGAAGAGTTGTACTGGAGTTTTAGTGGCGACAGCCCTGACTCTGTAGACGGCTCTCGGGAGATGGCCAAGTTGACGATATTAATTCTCATGATCCATGAGCATGGAAGATAGTTCTGTCTTCTGATATCTTCAATTTTTTTTCAATGTCTTACCATTTTTATCATACAAGTCTTTTACTTGCTCGGTTAGAATTACCCCATGATATATATTAGTTGAGGCTATTGTGAAAGGTGTTGTTTCTTTGATTTTTCTCTTTCTCAGTCCATTTGTCATTTGTACATAGGATGTTTGCCAATTGTTGTGAGTTCATTTGTATCCAGCTTTTTTGCTGAATGCGTTTATCAGCTGTAAGAGTCCCCCTTTGGAGCCTTCAGGGTCAGTTATGTATGCTGTCACATCATCTGCAGACCAAGACACTTTGACCTTTCCAATTTGCATTCCTTTGATCTTCTTCAGTTGTTTATTGTTCTACGTAAAACTTGAAGTGGCCAGGCAGTGGTGGCGCATGCTTTTAATCCCAGCACTTGGGAGGCAGAGGCAGGCAGATTTCTGAGTTAGAGGCCAGCCTGGTCTACAGAGTGAGTTCCAGGACAGCCAGGGCTACACAGAGAGACCCTGTCTCATAAAACCAAAAAAGAAAGAAAAAAAAAAAACTTGAAGTACTTTCCTGAGTAAGTTTGGAGAGTTTGGACAGCCTTGTCTTTTTCTGGATTTTAGTGTAATTGCTTTGAGTTCTCTCCATTTAAATTGATGCTGTCTTTGGGCTTGCTATATACTGCCTTTATTTTGTTGCAGTGTGTCTGTCCCTTGTATCTCTAATCTCTCCAGGACTCTTACCTGAGTAAGAGTCCATTCACTCCAGGAGTGTTGAATGTTGTCAAAAATCTTTTCTGGATCTAATGACATGATCCTGTTACTTTAGTCTTTCATTTTGTTGATGCGGTGAATTACATTTATTGATTTATGTATGTGCAACCAGCCCTGGAACTCTGGGATCAAGCCTACTTGATCATAATAATTTGAGGAGTATTGGCGTGAACATTCTTTGAATGTCTGGATGAATTTCGAGCTAAAGCCATCAGGCCCTTGACTTGTTTGTTTGTTCGTTTGTTTGGGAGAGTTTTAATTACTGATTCTGTTTCACTCGGGTTTATCTGATGGTCTAAGTTGCTTATCTAGTCTTTTAACTTTGTCAAGTGGTATGTATTGGAAACATCACTCATTTCTTTTAGATTTTCCAATCTGGTGGAATTTAGGCTTTTATTGCATGTCCTAATAATCCACTGGATTCCTATGTGTCTGTTGTTATGTGTAGTGACAACTTTTGAGAATTCTGAATTTGTTTCCTTTAACAACCCAGAAATATTCTAAGAATGTGCTTTTATCGTAATCCCAGTTGTGGGGAAGTGGGGCTGCTCTGCAGTCTCTGCAGCAGCTGATTGTGATTTGCCCTGTTCTCAAGCAGAAGCATGGTTTGCCAGCTGCAGATACTTTCTTCAATTTGCCTAAAGGTTGGAATTCTAAGGACTTTTTAGAGGGAACATCAACACTAGGGCCCTCAAGAGTTGTGTTTGGTCCTTTAGGGAGGTTGGTTTCTTGTTGCTGTTATCCATGATCAAAGAAAAAACAAAGACAATAAACTAGATTCAGGGATTTTTCTAAGTCCTCTCTCCCCTATATCCTTTTTTCTCTCCTATCAAGTGTTAGGGGGTGAAACAGTGCAGTGGGGTAGGATGCTGGGGTGGGGTGGATAAAGGGCAGGGTAAAAGAAGAACCCACAAAATAGCAAAGACCAGCTACAGTTATGTCATCCTTTCATCTCTAATTTTGTTAATTTTAATCTCTTTTTTCTACCTTTAGATAATTTGTCTACGAGTTTGTCAGTCTTTCTGATTTCTCAAAGAGTCAACTCTGTGTTTCATTGATACTTCGTATCTTTTTTCCTTTGTTTCTATTTTATTGATTTCAGCCCTGAGTTTAATTACTTCTTATGCTCTATTCCTTTTGAGATCTCTCTCTTTTTTTCTTTTCTTTTCTTTTTTTTAACTGAAGATATGAACTTGCTTCTTACACCCGCCTTCATCATGCCTTCATCATGTTTGGAGGTGTTGTGTCATTTTCATTCAATTCCAGGAAGTCTTTAGTTTCTCTCTTAATCTCTGTCTTGACTCAATTTTCTTATTTTGTTGTTGTTGTCTTTTAAAAAACCTTTTATTACATTTACTTATTTTTTTCACTTTACATCCTAATATCAGCCCTCTCTCCTCCCAGTACCCCCTCACGCAGATCTTCCCACCCCTTCTCTTTTGACAAGGGGGAGCCCCCTCTAGGTATCATCCCATTCTCTTCCACTGAGGCCGGACAAGGCGGCCCAGTTAGGGGAACGGGATCCACAGGCAGGCAACAGATTCAAGGACACCCCCACTCCTGCTGTTGGACCCTCATGAAGCTCAAGCTGCTCAACTGTTATGTTACAACTGTTATGTTACAACTGTTATGTTACAACT